ATCTAATCAAGGACTGAAATTTATGTTATGTATAACAAATCAGTAGTACTTTAATTTTTGTTATTTTTCTTTTTTGGTCTAAGTAGAGATGATAATGTGCCGGGTATAAAACATGTATCCGTTTTATTCGATCCAATAAATACCTCATTGAGAAATGCCTTGCATCTGTAGATGGACAAACGCAACTTCAGTTAATTTTTGCGGTGCATCTCGTCCCTGGGTATTCATCTAAGTATTTAACTATCTGAGTGAACAGTTTGCAGAGCCCATGGGGAGGAAAAGTTTTGCAGGTACACATTGCATTTTATGGACACGTCCACAGCTATGAAAGGCCATGCCCTCTTTACCAGGTATGTAAAAGTGAAATACACAAAATGTTTTGTATGCAGTGGAAAGAACAAGATTCATGGTAAATAAATGAGTCAATTGGTATGTTTGTGTCCTGTTCCATGCATTACTTAGATTTCCCTATAACATACATGCCACTTCTCTTCTGTCATTTCTGAAGACTGCATTATTTTTCTTGCCAGGAGATTAATCCGGCTTTATGCTGCTTAACGAAATCCTTAATGGGTTTTGCATCAAAAACTAATTCACCGACTATAAACTGGCATTTAGAGGGCTACTTTACTTAGAAGACCTTTTGTTCCCATGTGGTGCATTAGGGTATTTATCAATGTAATTTGATAACTATCCGTGATTTAATGAATGAATGTAACTCCCGGAAAAAAAAAAAAAAAAAAAGAGAGAGATAGAGAGAAAAAAAAAGAATAATATTTTAATATTTTTGTGGTTTTAATATTTGGTGTTTATATTAGAATTGCCACCTAAGCTTCTAATTTTTTCTCCTCCTTTACACCTCATAAGCTTAGATAAGGACATTTGTTAAATTCATTAACGAGGGAAGAAAAAAAAAAGAGGAAAAACTAAGATGAATGGCCGGCCACTTTTAGCAAGAAAAAAAAAATTTCAGCTCACCAAAAGGAAAAAAAGGCTGAACAAGAAGAGGGAAAAAGGTAGAAGAAAAGAGAAAGAAAGAAGGAAGGAAATGAGAAGAAAAAAAATCAAGAGATTTTCTAAGAAACTTGAACCAAGTAAGTAGGAATTTATTTTACACCACAAATTTGAATTTTATGTGTTTAATTTATTTGAGTTGATGACTATGCTTCCATGAGTTGTTTATATGGATATTGTGAGTTTTGATGGCTTGATATGAATTTATTGATTTATATCGAGTATTTGATAATTTATTCATATGTTTATTCATTAATTTTGATAAAGCTTTGTTTTATATCTAAATATTGGTTATTGGGTTTGGTTGGTGAATTGATGTGCTTGAATGGAATTTATTTGGAATGAATAATTGTTGATGTAGATATGGGATGAATAAATTTGATATGGTAAATGGTTGGTTGGTATGGTAAGAATTAATAGGATTACTTATTAATCATATGATGAGAAGATATTTATTAAAGGGGTGGATGGGTATTAATAGTATAGAAGAACAAACTTTGGAGGATAGAATAATTGTAGAGAATGATATAGAAGCATATTAATTATTGGAGGTTATTAATTATTAAGTGTTATGAATTAACTTGAGGTGAATAATTGGTGTGGATAATTTTGATATTAAGTAGTGAATATGGATTTATTTATTAAATAGGTGAGTATATATATATATATATATAAATTGGGAGTAAATAATTTAGGAGTGTGATTGATTAATGTGTTAGTGGTGGATTAATTATATTAAAAGATGAACCCATCTTATATATATGTGGTTACATTAATAATTAAATGGGGGTATTGATTAATTAATATGTTTATAATAAATAAATTCATAATAAGCTATAGGGTGGGGTGTGATTAAATATTGTGTGTGTGTGTGTGTGTGTGTGTGTGTGTGTGTGTGTGTATTAATGAGGTGGGGTGAATTATATTCCCTGCTAATTTATTTTCTTAAATAAATATTTATATGGGATATATGAGGTATGTATTTATTCCTATATGTGGGAAGAATTTGATACCCATGACTTGACGGATATGGTAAATGAAACATCATTATGCATCATATGCATTATGGGTATATTGAAAAGTCGGATGGTCGAGGACCGATAGTTTGGTCACCGAAACTAGTTTAAATGAGTATTAACGATGAAACTATGTACGTTCTCCATTACTTAGTTACACGGTTAGGCGATAGAAAATTTCACTAACCGTGTGCTACAACGATGAAAAATTCCGTTGTTAGCAATAGGCGATAAGGTAATCATCGAGAGATGTAAATGGCGCGGACTTACTAATACCTAGGGTAGCCGAACTAAAATGAGTAAACAAATTTAGGGTAACAAGAAATCATTTCATGGCACGTGCATCACCTTACTTATTGAGCTTTAGCTCATATTGTTGTTGTTATCTCGTGGTATAACGAGTAAGGACAAAGATGGTTCTGTCGAAGAGGTTGTCGATTCTCACTAAAAGGGTTCATGTGTTCCCCGAGAGAATAAGAATCTTTTGAAAAGTTGTAGATAAGTAATGATGTGTCTATTTGTTGGTAATCGGCATCGTGGATATTTTATAATTCATGTGACTTGATTTAGTAATATTACATAACTTTTATTGTATGTATTCCATATTTTAATATTTTATTGATTTACGGTCGAGTATTATAGGTATTAGTCGGGATTTTAGTCTAAATAGCGTAACGAACCTAGTCACTTCTATTTCGGAAATAGTAAGGGAGTTAAGGGCGTTACAATGAACTTCTTGATAAATCTTTGGCTTGCAAACACCATTATTGTGTGCAAGAAATTGTTGTTTCATGATTATGGAAGAAACACTCACAGATACTGAAATGGTTTTTTCCCCTCCTCTGTGGGAGAAAAAAAAAAAATTGGATGAAGGGAAAAGGTAACAAAAAAGAATGATGTGTATGACGTATAGGCAGATTGTGTTTTCAAAACTGTTTCCATAGTAAACTGTGATAAATATCACAAGTGAAACTGGTTAAGTAGTCTGCTATAAATGCCTCTCTTAAATTCCTCAATTGTAGTCTAGCAGCAAATACGATTTTCATTTCTCTGATATTTACTCCTTAAGCCGGTGGTGCAGAATTCATTGTTCAAGTGTAGTGAATGGAACAATCCATGTTGTTGTGGATGGAGGAGGAAGCCATACATCTGAATACACCAACGTGACCCCCCGGTTGGCATGTTTACAGAGATTCTGACTATAAAGTCGTTAAATTGACAGCATTTAATCACTCATCCCTGAGCTTCGAGTACAAGAAAAGCTGTGATGGAAATGTACATGATTCTTTCACAATTTCCATAGACTACTGAGATGATGTATTGGCCTGTGTGAACGATAATTGAATTATCCGTCAACAAATTCTCAGCTATTTGAACCATACATACCAAAAAAAACACATTTCCAATTGCTATACATACATATGCTTCTGAGCTGTGTTGTAATTTACAAGTCTAGCGATATAGTTCAATGAAATTTATTTCCCTCATTTTCTGTTCTTTACTTTGCTTCTCTGTTATTTTCCGTAGGCTTTTCCTTATCTGTAAACTGATATGATGTTGTGCAGCATTTTAGCCCAGGAACACGGCGAAGAGGATGAAAAAAGGAAGAGAACGAAAAGGGAGATTCTTGCTGAAGACCAGCTGGAAGTCATTGCCAAATATTCTCCTTTGCTTCCCTCACATTGAATGATCACAGCATATGTTAATTCAATTACAGATTTATTTTTCTCCCCTCCCAATGCCGTCGCATGTGTCTGGAGCAGACTATCAGAAATTTTTTCACCATGTATGAAGCAATTCAAAGAATATGCCACAGATGATGATGATTCGTTCAAACCTAGTTCATCAACTTGAAGAGATTGTTCGAGTGAATATGATTGTTTCATAACCAAAAAACTTCAACCCTATTCAGCTTCCTTATTGAAAAACCTTTGGCCTTTTCTTTCTTAGCACTCAGTTAACTTGTCAGCTTCATGCTCCCAGAAGCCATATCATATCAGGTCAACCAAAACCCTGAACATGCCTTTTTCATCGATCTAAACAATTAAAACATTATGAAATGGAATTATCTGGTCAGATTTACATGTGAAATGGCTTCATCAAACCAGGGATAAAAATAGGATCCAACAATGACCCAACAGAGCTATAGAGATTGCACAAAGGCAAAATTTGAGGCGAACTGAAATAGCGTGCAATAATTCTAAATCTAAAATAAGATTATCTTAACATTACAAAAGGCACGAGTTTTCCCTTCGCTATCACCAAAGTTCACAATCGTTTCGTTGATTATCTGACGAAAAAATAGACCATAGTAGATCATCAATTTTTAAAGGGCAATGTCGGCCAGTGTGCTGGAACATAATCTGCTAGTGTAAATTTTGCAAACGTATTGTCAAGCAAGCTTCTAAGATGGCCAATAAAAACAAGCAAGTCAGAATGCTCTCAGAATGCTCCAAAACCACAAAACACAGATGGGCGCAAGAGTATATGCATACATGTAGTTAAAAGCTGTAACCACAAGTAAATTGGATTCTACTGTTAATAGTAGCTAGTTCATCCTAAAAATGCTGAAGAGCAAGACTGTCTGACCCTCCCAAGAACCCACTTTGGTAGGATCACAACTGAGTAATAGCCTTTTTACGCAAACAGATGAATGGAATTGTTAAACCTCTCAAGTCACACCAACCAAAGCATGTCCCTGAATAACAATTTCAAGATCACTACGCAAAACTCCATTTTCCAAGTACATGATCTTTTGGTTTTAAAAATTTGCATGAGTATGTATCCAAAATCATTTGACAAGGCCAATATTAGCCTCCAAAAAGTTCAAAAGTTCAATTATAACATCGAATAGGCACAAAAACTTGAAGGGGTGAACAACAGTAAATATCTCTAATCCACTCTAGTTCAACAATCTATTCAGCCTAACAATGTCTCAGATAAGAGAACCCAGCAAACTAAACAACCAAATTACATGAACAGGTTGGGCCTGGATGCCTTGTATGTTGTCTTCAGCTTCCTGGTTGGGGGTCTAACCTTCTTGAACACCAATGGGAACTTGATTTTTGAATTGTGGAACTGCTTGGTACTTTCTCTCTTGCAAAGTTTTGCAGGGACCGTAGCAGTCTTGATGATTTGGATGCATGGAAACCTAACCCTGTGGCGGGATGCCATCTCGGTGTACATCTGCTCAACAGCACCATTCAGGGTAGTGTCCCTGTATTCCTTGTACATGTTGTGATAACCAGTCCTGCTCTGGTATCGCAGCCATATTCCAAAGTTCTTGATTTTGGTTGGATTCTTCTCAAAAATCTACAATCAGAAATTAATTATATAAAAATGCTTGGAACAAAAAGCAGAAAAGTCTTTGATTCTTGTTCTTCCACAGGAAAACTCATTTCAAAGTAACACAAATGTTGCTAACATTTCCCTTTAGGTATGGGTCTAAATCCCACACAAGAATTCTAATAATTCTAATACCGAAAAAAGAGCAAAAACTAAAATAGATTATCAAGAAATATTCATTTCCTGTGAATAGATTTAACCAGCTAATGGTGTGACCTTACCATAATTAAAGGGAAGCTTGGTCCACAGGTGCATCAACCAAAAAAGCTATAAAATGTTCAACAAGGTAACATTCAAAATCTCAATTATCCAGATGTGCTTACACAGAAGGCCATTACAAACACACATCAAAATGAATTTTTCTGAGCTATCCTCTCAAAAGTTCCATGTCTCTAGAGCATAAAATTTAGTTCCAACATTTTGGTTCTAATACATTAATACTAGTAGCTGAAGAAACAAAAAAAGAACATGCAGACTTATTCCACGCACCTGGCCTGAATCCATACATTGTAGAGTCCGTGGGATCAATCAACATTTTTGCATGTCAGAGCGATCCACACCAACACAAAAAATGCAGGAGTTTAAGCTAAGGAGCATGTGAATATATTTGGCCACTAAATTTAATTCTTAGAAAGTAATTCTGTAAATTAAAGATTTGAGTACCTTGTTTTTCAGTTAATGGATGCTCAATTATGTGCTCAGCCAATCTATTGTTACAAAAAATTTACTTTAATTTTCCTTAAAACTAAATAAATCTTCACAAGCTTAACAATCGTGCAACTTTTTAAAGTTCCTCACTGAATGAGTGGCATAGTTTCTAAGGAGTTAACCCTCAAAGCTCATCACATTAGCCTAGAGAGCTGAGGAGAAAGCATTTCATCCAATTTTTAACTCCAATTCAGCTTCAGATTAAAACCCTCATTTTAGAGGGCTGAAAACATAGCATTTCATCCCCTTTTAAAATTTTCTACTCTTGTCTAGCTTTAAGGTCTAATTCCTCTCTTAGCTTTTAAATACAAGGAACCTTTACTGAACAAATATAGGATTTTTACAAGAAACAACCATGAAAGATGGAGAGAACAAGACGTGAACAAGTAGTGTGATAGATTTAACCAAAAAAAAAAAAAAAAAAAAAAGCCAGAAGCCACAAATGCAGTTTGTCATAAATAATAAATTGAACTATCAGAGATGCACATAGGAAAGTATAATATCTCCAAATATACGATATACAACTGCATTAAGACAACAGCAACAAGATCCAGACAAACCCCCCAAATTATATCATTAAATGAATTACAAATATACATCCTATCGTCAGTTACAAAATAAATTTTGTAAAATGAAAATGTCAAGCCATCCAAGAGCACATATAATGAAGAAAAACTACTTTGCAACAAAATCCAAAAATAGGTCATTGTTTCATTCTATTCATAAGCATATACAGCATATAATTCTCTTCAACAAGAAAAGAAGTCATCAACAAACAATGAGTGAGAAAACCCGTCACTTTTCACCAAAATACGTGTACGTTTCAAGCAAGAAATTGGTGGCAACTCCAACCCACCAGTATACATACATCATGCCCTCTGAATTTTACTCATAAGACAATTTCAACAAATTCTCTAGAAAGCATGTAACATCACACATACCTCATTGATGGCAAGAATTTGTCCATTGCTTTTCTTGACCTTTTTCAGCTTCCTCAAGAAATACCTAAAACATATCAACCATAATAGCATCATTAGAGTTAGTAATCATAGAAAAAAAATATAAGACCCAAAAACCACTAAAGATAGATTATTGAGGAAGCGAAGTAACGATACATACCAGAACTTCGATTTTGAACGGACCTCGTTAGTGGCCCAAAGCTTCATGCGGTAGATCTTGGGATGCTCATCTTTCTCAGTTGGAAGTGCTCTCCCGACCACTTGGTACTGGTGAAACTGTTTCCAACACAAACAAAAATTCAAACATCATGTTACCTAGATCCATGAAAATAGCAGATTGAGCAAGTCTGAGAATGTTGGCGTTACATACCCTGAAGCCACCCATTTTGTGATGTGCTAGGCAGCTGCCGGGTTCCTCAAACGATCACCCCTTTTCGTTTTTCCCTCTGTGTCTAGGTTTTGGAGAAGCATGTAAATGAGATTTTAAAACCCTAGTTTAAAATGAATTCAGCTTGGCCCTGCCCAATATTTACTCATCTAGTATTTAATTCGGCCCAGTTATCAGTCCGATTGCACTTCCAGAGGCCTAATTCCAAGTCTCGTTAGGCCCGCAAGAGCTAGATCAATGCAAGCCAATAATATCATACAGCCAGCCCATCATAGGCCCATCATATATTTGGTGATGCTTTCTCTTGAAATTTTGTAATATCATCCCTCTTCTCTGTTTCTTCTTCTTCTTCTTCTTTTCAGTCATCCCTCTTTCCTTTTTCTTTTTAAATCAATCCATGTACAGTGAATCTTTAAAAAAGTGGTTGTCCGTCCATCTTTTTCGAATTTCACCATTAGTTCTTGACAAGTAGCTTGACATGTCCGTTAAAAAACATAAATTATTGACAAACGCCAAATTTTAAAAACATGAAATTAAAAACAATTTTTGAAACCAAAAATAAATATAGAAACTTTATCTCCTTCTCACACACTCTTGGCTTAAAAAAAGAAGAATTGGAGTATTTGATCAGTGATATTTACTGTACTCTAGTTCTTTTGGTTTGATTCTTTTTTTTTTTTTTCTGGATTGAACAGCAGCTAAGGTCTAGCGTGCAAGCCTACACTCGTAGCTCGCTGGCCTGTCTTGGCCACAGAGGCCAACCAAGCACTAGCCTGGCCTTCTTTTTTCTTCATATATATATATATATGAAGAAAAAAGAAGCCTAGGCTAGTATATATATATCCTATTGTAAATAAACTCTCAAAAGAAAGTTTTGCCTATGAAAACTTCCTGAAGCCCAAAATTAAAAATTAAATAATTGGTGATCATGATCCCAAATTATATTCATCATTTCTCCTCTTAGATTAACCTAAGAGTTTTTTAAAATAAATCTTTGTTTTTAAAGACATGAGCATTTATCAATATAGATGAATTAGCCTTGAGATAAAAAAAAAAGTCATTTTTCATATATCTCACAAAAGTTATATATCTTGTCATCCCACTCTAAGCCTTAATGATCTCTTTTACAAAACTCAAATAAGAATCACCCCTCACACTTAGAGCAAAATGTGAAGTTCATAGATGGTCGATAAAACTCTTAAAAATTGTCAAAGGAACCACTATCAATGACTCCGAAACAAAAAGAAAGAAAGAAGAGCACCCACGATGTAAATTATAAGTCGAGATAGGAGTAAAAAAATTTAGATAAAAAGATAATGAGAGTTGAGACTAGAAAAAAGGTCAACAATCAACGACAAAGTCGAGCAACAACCTTAGGAAAATTTTCATGAACGTCAAGATGACACAAAAGTCTAGACCAACGTCTAGAGTGATAAAATCCGGACGACATTGCCTCGAGAGATCTTTATGGACAACAAAGTGATCCTACGTCTTTGGACCCTCAAACAATTTTTTAGCCTTTAGGTATCAATTTTTTCATAGGACCAAGTCATAATCTACATTTCATGCTTCTACAAGCTTTTTCTAATAAAAAGTAATTTTATTCATACTGATAAATTTTAATCTTAAAAAAAAAATATACACGACTGGTTGTGTGCTATTTGTCATCCTTTGTGACATCAAATCATAAGTTTTCATCAAATAACTTGGGCACAAGAAATAAACAAAATTAAGATATTTTCAAACAAGATTATCCTTTAGAACCTAATTTTTCAAAATACTTTACGCTCAAGCCTTTCCATTTACCAAAATAACATCAAAAATTAATTTTTCTAGAAATGCGGCATGATCCAAATACATTTTACCTATTTAGCCTAAGACAATAACCATCTTGAAAAAAATTATATCATAATATTTAAATGTCATGTTTTGGTTTTTGACCAATCAACTTGAATATCGTCATGAATAAAAATACTTTTATTTATACATCTCCACCTTTCTTTCAAATAATATGAATTGTCTTTAAGAGAATCATCCAAGTTCACAACTTAATTCATAAAAATAAATAAAAAAATTGAATGCTTATTTAATTATTTTTCTTAACATACAAAGATAATTAAATTGATATTAAGCAATATTAAAGTTTGGGAGGCTTGAAGGAAATAAAGATGGAAATTGGGGTTGAAGATCTATTTGTCAAATGTGAGAATTTTTATCATTTGGCCTTAAAATTAAGGTATTTACATGATTTTATTGATGATTTTGAAGTTGTTTTATGTTGGCTTTGTTATTAGAATAAAAATTGAGTTAGGTTAGACTTAGGGTTTGAATTGAATTTGGAGATTTGATGATTTAACAATTAATTATGCTAATTGATGCTTGAAATGAGAAAATGGTGGCGTAAAATTGAGTACTAGACTATGAGTTTAAGAAATTCTCATGTTGGTTGAGATGATGAATTGTAGAAATAAGTTATGTGAAAATTAAATAGAAAATTATTGGTGGATTGTAAAGATTAGTTGTGTGAAAATTGAATTGAAAATTGATGATGGATTGTAGAGACAAGTTCTGTGAAAATTGAATCAAAATTTTATGATGGATAATTAGTTGTGATGAAATATAAATTGAGTTGTTAGAGAAATATTGTAGAAATAATTTGAGGTATATTTGTTGGGTAATTGTCTAGAATTGGTTGAGAGAGTGAGAGTTTAGTTAAAAATCCTCAATTTAAGTCTTTCTAATAAATTTTATTCTTGTAATTTGTCTTGTATTTTGATTTCTAGAATAATTTATTTTTTTGAATTATTCTTTGATATGTGATATTAATGATTATTCGATCATTTTGTATCATTAGATTCTTCAAAGTGAGCGACTCTATCTCAACAACCTTGACTTCATGTGATCATTCAATTGTATTGTGAGTGGGTAGTATATAGCATAATATGTTTTTTAAGTTCCATTGATATTTTCATTATGCATCATTGATTTAAATATGTCATCATCACATCTATTAGAATTTAGATGAGAATGGACTCCTTATGAAAGTTTGAAACGATTTGATAGCGAAAAATGATTTGATATGATTTTAATAAAAGTTTGATTATGCATTTTTTATAAGTGTTTCACTTAAGATTTGATTTAATTATATGGATTTAATTACTAGTTTGATTAAGATTCTTTATTTTGATTTTGTTTGTGTAATTTAAATAAGTCTTTGATTTATAATCTTGAATATGAGTTTGTATTTGAGCTTAGACTTTGATTATAAATTTGATGTTACATTGTATTACCAAATTTGATTTTGAGCATGATTGTATTTGGATATGTTGGTTTTGGATTTTTGAAATTTATGTTAGATTATTCAATTTTTTATTTGATTAACTACCTTAGAGTACCTAGCTACAAAGGACATAATTATGAGCTCACTAATACGAAAATACTCCGACTAACAAAAGAGGTATAGTGCTAGCTCTGTATGTTGACCAACATATGATATACCTAGCTATAGAGGGGGCATTGCCTTTAGATATTCACATATAACGATATGATTTGATTTGATCACCCTGAGTGTAGATTTTCAATAATTGATATAATTTGATTTGATTATATGTATGTTGATATGAGATTTTGAGTGTGAATATGAACAACTTGAAAATATATGATACAGTTTGATATTTAAATATGAATTTGATTTTAAGAAATATGCATTGTATCTAGTATAAGTTTTGAATTATCATCTCGTTTATCCGCTTTCCCATCCTTATTTATATTGTATAATATCTACTCATTGAGATGTTCTTTTGCTCATATCCCATTATTTCAGTTTTATAAGGCTTGTGAGGTTGCCTTTGACTTCTACAAAACTACTTGTTTCGCAACCGACACATTGATCATGTGGTTCATTTATTTACAATATTTTGAATTAATATTTTAATATTATTATATACTCTAAAATTTTTGTAATTATATTTATGAGAGTTGTTATGATTATTATGTTGGATATGTATAGCTATCATGAAATTACGAGTTTGGGTTGGAATTAAGAAATATTGACTAATTAAGTTGTGATATTACGAATTGGATCGAGTTGTGTTAGAATATTGATTAAGGATATAGTTTGAAAAATGTATGAATATTATGAAATTATAGTTTGTGTTGGAATTATAAAGTATTTTTTTTACAAGTGACTCGACTCGGGAATTATAAAATATTGACTATTGGGTTGTGATATTGCAAATTAAAAATGATATTTGATTTACTACAAGTTTTATAATTATGATTTAGATATTCAAAACTTGCTTAAGTAGAAGTGAGTCTCACAACTCTTTTAGTTCTCACACCGATCATGACTAACTTCAAAGGTTGTGACAATATGAAATCAAAAATGTTATTCGAAAGGATTATTTTGCATTTTATTTTATCCACATTATAAGGGATATAATGACAAATTCATTCAAAAAATTTCAAGACTCGACCAAATTTTAAATTGTGTCATTTTATCAATTAAATCTTTAAATAAATGGCTTGTTCATGTTTGTATCATGTTTTCCGTCTAAATTGCATATAATATACAATAATGTAACATCATTTTAAAGAATATTTGATGTTTTTATTAAAATAACATAAAGGATTTTAGACCAAAATCCAATTAAGAACATGTTGAGTTCTAAATGTGAGTGGAGAAACTCATATCGATTAGAATAAGAAATTTGAAGTATTTATATATAAGATGGATTCATTACCTATTAATGTAGACTTTTAGATATCATTTGGTTATCATGAATGAAAGGTCCAAAATGAGAATGTAGGAATCGAAATGGTATTTACATTCTCTTATCTTATTTGGAATAATAATAGGGAATTATAATTAAATATAAAAATTTTAATGTATTATTTAAAAAAAGAATAAAAATAATAATTTTAAAAATAATTTTATCAACTATGATGGTAGTAAAAATGATAAAAGTGACTCGTGATAGTGGAAGAAGAGGAGTCTGGTGGTAGTAACGATAATATAATAATAGCAATAATATATCTAAAAAAAATTGATACTATTAACATAGGAGGTGACGATATAATAATAATGGTAGTGATGGTAACATAATAAAAGTGATAATGGTGGTGGTGGTGGTAGAGAAGAAGGAGTGATGGCAAAATAATGATAATAATTTTTTTGAACTTTTTATCACCACTCGTCAATGTTGGTGGCAGTGGCAACGGTAACATTGATGGTAGTAGTAAAATAAAAGTGATGGTGGTGATAAAAAAGAGTGGTGGTGGAATGATAATATAATATATTTTTTTGAAATTTTTTTATCACCATCGTAAATAGTGATGGTGGTGATAGCGATAGAAGTAGTCGATACACAATAAATAAAAATAATATATCACTATTTTAAAATAAAAAATTATTCTCATTCTTTATTATTATTCCCATCTCGTCATGAAAATAAAATTATATTTAATTTTTATTTATATTTTCACTCTTTATTTCTCATTCTAACTTTATTCTTTTCAACTAAACACTTGTAAAGTGAGAATAAAATTTTTATTTTTATTCTCATCATTTCATTTTTTTTTTATCATCAAACAACATCTTTGATTAAAGTGGTGTTCATTTTCCATCTTAAGTGTATCTACCAATGTAGATCTTCTAACAATTGATAGTTGAACTGATGGTTAGAATTCTATGATTTTGTCTAAAACGAGTGACGATTATAGTTAGAATCTCATTTCACATTTAAAAAGAAGATTTGTTGAGTTCGTTATAAATAAAAAGTTTGAAAGAATTATATACAAAATTTTAGTAGAAAATGCACCAACTAAGTTTGTGTTCATACAAAGTCAAACACACATATGTAACAATACTACACATGGCAACTAGGTGTATATGCACATGAAACAAAAAATAAATATGCATATTAAACAAAAAATATAAATAAATATGGATAAAAGGATCAAATTGAAACGTATTAGAAACATAGGATCAAAATTTGCATAAGGAATAAGTTGATAATTAGATAATAGATTAAGGATAAGATTGAGATATCCCCGAAAAATTAACCCAACTTATCGCTTAGGTGCTTGTTTGGTAATCGGGAATAGAGTGGTGAGAATTGGAATGAAAGTTTTATTCCTACATTGTAGGCTGTTTGATTAAAAAGGAATGAAGTTAGAATGAGAATGAAAATGAAAATTTACACACAACTTCATTCCCATATAAGATGAGGGAATAAAAACAAGAAATGAGAATGAATTTTTTTCAAAATAATAATATATCTTATTTATTTATTATATATTAACTACTTTTACCATCATCACCGCAATCACTACCACCACCACTACCACAATCACCACCACCACCCGTGCCACAATCAATACCGCCGTCGCCACCACCACTAGAACCACCATTGTCATAACCATAATCATCATGATCACCTTTATTATTTTTACAACCATCATAGTTTAATAAAATTATTTTTATTTATATAAAAAATTAGATATTAAAAAATTTAAATTGCATTCTAATTTCTCATTAGTATTCCAAACATAGTATGGAAACACAAATATTATTTCGATTCCTTAATTTTCATTCCGATCCCTGTATTTTTATTCCTATCACTCTATTTCGATTATCAAACAACATCTTAGAAGATACCCCATACTAGGGCGAGAATCAAAGCTACCTCATCTTTAAATCCGTTTGGGGTTTAACAAACAGAAAAAAGGACAGGGATATCTCAGAGTCTAAAACTTTCAGGTAACCTCTCTTTTCTACTCCATCAAATTCTCCTTTATATATATATATATATATATATATTGCTTAAGAAAAAATCGATAATGCATATAACTTTATTATGCATTATTTTTTACCCGCAACAGGAGAAGCATCAAAGTGGTGTTGACCGCAGTGCAAATTGTGGTGGGGATGAGGCAGCATGAAAGGAGCACTTAGGGCAGTGTTATTTCTATGTGAATTAGCTAGATGGGTTTTCAAGGAAATTGAAGTTGGCTGATTAGTTGGTTCTCAGATCATGCTATTATTTGTCAATGCTTTGTGGGAATTGGAATAAGCCCTTCGGTTGAATTCGTTTTTAAAATATCTTAGGCCGAAGGAATCTTCACTGTTTGGTGAAAATCGGATAATGGAATCAAATTATACTGAAATATCAATTTTAGCATGATTTTTTTCTTTTAGGAATGTTTTTTTTTTTTAAAAAAAAAGCCGAACCGCGTTATTTTCTGTTTTCAGGTTTGGTTCGGTTTTTTTTTTTTTTTTTTTTTTTTTTTTTTTTTTTTTTAAATCCGGTTAGACCGAATGATGAAAGTTATATATATATATATATTATTTTTTAATCCGATCAGGAATTATATCACTCATTCTGTGACTTCTGTGTAGCTCGCTCCTCACGCTCACTGCCTTTCGCGCACCTTCTTCTCCGAATTGAAAAGCTCGTCTGTCGTCTCCCCAAAATCGCAATACCTATCGAAACCGTCAGCCACCTCCCCCTGACCCCTCTTCACATACTCACCTTCTTCCTCCTCCTCATTCGTCAGGCAGCCTTCAACCGTCAGCCACCTCCCCCTATTCACAGTCGGTAATCTCTCGAAGATTTCAAGACGCATCCCTCGGTCCTTCATCTTTTAGTCTTCTGCTAATCTGCTCGTCTCCCACAGGCCACAGTCCCACTCTCAAGCTTCCAAGATTTCCAGTTCATGGTGAGTCATGCTTACCCAAATAATTATCCAGTGAATCGAAATGCTTCTATTTTTCTTCCTTAGATTTTCAGTTTTTTGGATGCATTTTGTGGGTACTGGCAGTTGGAATTGGAACTTTATTTATGTGAATTGTGATGTATAATTTGTTCAAAACAAACTTGGATTGAAAGGGAAGGAAAGGGATTAATAAAAACTGCAATTATCCAGTAAATCGAATTGTGATCTATGCGCTGTTGGATTTCCAAATACATAGCCTAAAATGCTAATTAGGTGCATGTTTCAAGTAGTGAGCGGATGGTTAGATAAATTATTAGGAGGGTGATGGTGTCTGCAATGTTTGACCCATTTTTTGATTAAGCAAGACAAAGGCAATGAGTGAAGAAAATGAACCATCTTTGTATCAGTTTAATCTCAGCTGTACTGGCTGATTCAATGTGTAGAGACCCCTTTTCCATGGTAAGGAAAACAGAGAGAATGGGCAGAAAATAGGAAGTCCTGAGAAAAGGCATAAAAAAAGAACCAACCGCTTGCTTCAGGATGCCTAGCCTCATCAACTTGCAGCGTCCATTGCTGGACGAGGATATTTCTTATTTGCTCCAGTAACAATATTGTATACGAAAATTCCTTTCAAAATTCGAAGTGTCCAAGAATTTCTTACAGCTGAATCTTTTGAATTGTTTATATTTTTTCAATTATTGCTTCGTTAAATGCAATTTCTAGAACATTTCATTCACATTGACAGACAAGTATGTAAGTTTTAAAAATAAAGCTTTCTCAGAGTACTATTTAACTTAAATTATCTTGAAACAGCAGAAATTAATTAATAGAGCATGCATTCCGCATGCTGGCTAGATAGAAGTCATTCATATTATTATTTTAAAAATAAAATAAACTTGAAAATGGATAACCAAGATATTGGCTGTTTGCTAGCTAGCACAATATATAGTTTGTTATTGTCTGCTGATAAAAAAATTGCACACATTTCTGACTTCTCTAGCTTATTGTCCACTGAATAGGGAAAGAATTGCATGCTTTGTCTTGGTAAAACTGCTATGATATGCATCCACAGTACTAGATTTACAAATAAGTATAGTATACATAACTATAGTTTCCTTCTACTTTATATTTTTTTCAAATAAATTCTTCAAAAAAATAAAATGAGTAAAAACTGATTTACCAAACATCAAAACTGATATATTTCGAAACTAAATAACAATTCGGTTCAGCTTCGGTTATTTTTTTTAAAATTCGGTAAACCAAAAACCATCTGAAAAATTTCGAAACCGAACCAAATAACCAAACGAACACTCCACGGTGGAAGGGTCTTCTATCAAATCACTGCTTATCTGACTTTTCTTTCATGTATTTGTGTTGTTTTCAGCTTTGCACATGGGGTTGGCTCAGCTGTAGCTATTTCCAAAGGTTCGACGGAGATCAGTAGTTGTTACTCCCACGGCTACCAAAATGGTGGGGAGGAAAGACTGTGAGAAAAAGGAAGCAAAGAATGAGGACAGTTCCTTGAAAGAGGAAAGATTGTTGAAAGATAAATTGCTTGTGATTGGAGGGGAGGATCTAAGTCTGAGTAGTGAACGTAAGAAGAAGAAGAAGAAGAGCGAATGGCATGAGGCTAGTGGCGAGGATGTTGCGGCAAGTTCCAGTCTAAGTGTGGGTAATGTAGATGTGAATAATGCAACTGACAAGAATGAGAAGAAGAAAAAGAAGAGCGAGAGGCATGAGGCTACCAGTGAGGATGTTGCAGTAAGTTCTAGTCTAAGTGAGGGTAATGTAGATGTGAATTATGCAGCAGACAAGAATGAGAAGAAGAAGAGCAAGGGGTATGAGGCTAGCAGTGAGGGTGTTGCAGTAAGTTCTAGTCTAAGTGAGGGTAATGTAGACGTGATTAATGCAGCAGACAACAGTGAGAAGAGGGAGAAGAAGAGAAAGTTGGAGCATGGTAATGATGAGAAAAAATCTCAAGTGGTTAGGAAGAAAAATAAGGTGAGTGAAATTAGAGAGGTTTTTGAGGAGACCCACATGAGAATAGAGGATAATATGGGCTTTCAAAAGAATGTCCAAGTGGAATTTTTCAGCTATTCTGAGTCAGAAGTGAGAAGAGATAGGAAAAAGAATTAAAAGGAGAAAAACAGAGAAGACAAAACAAACACTGTTTCCTCTGTGGCTAACATCCTTGACGATAACAGAAGGGAAGAGGTGGTTGAGGTACAGAAAGGCCTTGAGAGTGAAGATATTGCTAACATGAGTAATGGGGAAAGACAGGATCGCAAGAAGGAAAAGAAGAAGAAACAGAGGAAGTATGATGATGGTGGTGGTGATACTGAGGTAATTAAAAGTGCAGCTGATGTGAAAGATGTTGGAAAAGGGGAGTCGACTGAAATTGTTCAGGACAAGGTAGAGTCTTTGAAGAAGGAGAAGAAGAAAAGGAAGAAAAAGCACAACATTGATCTAGAGGCTGCATCAATGCGAATTATGCCTGGGACAATGGATAATAAAAGCAGTGTAATAGAAGGTGATGTGGATAACACAAACTCAATTAAAAATAGGGCAAGAGATGGAACACTAAAGATTAATGTTGAAGGTGGTGGGAACAAAAGGAAGAAGGCCAAGTCTTTGGGAAATGGTTCAAAAGAAAAAAGTAGCGAAAGAGTAACGCAAATGGAGAAAGATGTCAAGACCACTAGTGCATCAGCAAAATCTTCATCAAAAGTGACATCTAAGAGAGTGAGTTTTTGTGAAGATGTTGAGGTTTTCCCTTCATCTGATGGCCCTAGTGATGAGAAGGCTGTTGGGGAAGATGGGCTAGTGCGAGGGAAGCGGTTCTCATGTGAGGAGGATGAGATGGTTAAGCAAGCTGTTTTAAACTATATTGATGTTTATGATTTAGGCGCAGAAGGTCTAAACATGGTGCTGAATTGTATAAAGCACCCTGCAATTAAACATTGTTGGAAGGAGATAGGTGCAACCTTACCTTGGAGGCCTCGTGAAAGTGTATATTATCGAGCCCATATACTGTTTGAAAGGGACCAGAATTCTTCTTGGACCCCAGAGGAGTCTGAACTCGTCCGAAAGTTTCATGAAAAACATGGATCAGATTGGAAGACACTAGCAGAAGCCCTGGGAAAACATAGGTTTCATGTAAAGGATACGTGGCGAAGAATAAAACTGGTCAATATGAAGAAAGGGAAATGGTCCCAAGATGAGTACCAGTGTTTATTTGATTTAGTGAATTTGGATCTACGCTTGAAAGCTTTTGAAGAAAGGAAAACAAAGCATGGGATGTTACGAGATAATGTTAGTTGGACAGCAATTAGCGAGAAGTTGGAAACTAGGACTGATGCTCTCTGCTGCCAAAAATGGTATGACCAATTAACATCACCTATGGTAGCTGAAGGTAAATGGCTTGATACAGATGACTATCGGCTGCTGATGGAGCTCTATGATTTGGATGCTTGCTGCATGGAAGATGTTGATTGGGACAATCTTCTAGAGCACAGGTCTGGAGATCTATGCCGGAAGCGATGGAACCAAATGGTCAAACACCTTGGTGACCATCGTAACAAGTCATTTGCTGACCATGTTGACATTCTAATTAGCCGGTACTGTCCTGATGTGCTTGAAGCAAGAGAGAACTACGATAGCAAACCTGCGGTTCCTTGAAGTTACAATCCTCTTGGGTGGTTTGTTGCTCCATTTGTAGTCCCAGTCTAAAGTGTTGGTGACCCTGGTTTAGGTTGGCATTGATTATTTACAGGAGTTTTATGTAATGAAACAAAGTCTTTCTCCCAAGTGACTGAAATTTTTTAAATTGCCATGTTTTGTTGCTCCATTTACAATCCTCTTGGTAAGTTTTGTGCTCGAAAGTTGCCATGTTTTTTCCTTCTGTATTTTATGAGGTGCAATTTCATTTGAGATTAGTAGTTCTATTTTCTTCATATTTAAATGTCATCCCCTTGGCAGGGTGGGGCATCAAATGGGCGGTTATCTCAGGAAACCAATATAGTCTAGTACGTAACTCTTGCTTACAGCTATGCCTGAAATTGAATGGTATGGGTCATGTCTTGGCCTTGGAATCTTTTTTCTCTAAGATTTTACATGATCTGTCGTTTTATTGGTTAAACTATAGCAGATTATGCAAAGATGTAAAAATTCTCTTTTGTTTTTAGCTCGTTGGGAGCATGATAGCTTAACTGTGAAGGTCAAGGTTCTGTTCATCATAGTCTTTGAACCAGTGATACTTTGGGCATTCTTTTTTCTTGTTCAGTGTCCCTACACTTGAAAGAGAGAGCTTTTGTAGATCAAGAGCAAGAATCATTGGGATTCTTTTGGCAATAGAGAACAATTAGGCATGTAGCTCTATGCTTTGTTTTGTAATGAAAATGGTCTATGGTGTTGAGTCGATGGTGATGTTAGTGGTGACTGGTGTGTTGGTCATTATTGTGTGAGACAAAACAAAAAGAGAGAGAATTGTTAGTTTTTGGAAAAAAAATTGACTAAATGCATATCTCTGCTTGGAAGGATCATGAGCACTAGTCTATATATATATATATATATGCATTATCACTTAGCTTCTAAAAACAAAGAAATGGAAGTACATCTTTTATGCATGCTTGTTATTGGTAACCTAACCCCCAAGTTAAGTCTACTTCAGCAAATTCTTTCTCAGCTTAGAATATAGTTTAAAGTTTTAGACAAACATTTTATGTTGAGGAAGTAAGTTTGTGGTCTTACACATGGACAGCTCTGCACAGGAGCTTCCTTCTATGCCCAGGAGGTGATTATACTGATTTGGCAATATTAGTTTTTGAAACATAAAGGATTGATTAATTCTTTTCTTGAAACTAGAGAGACTAACTTATACTTACTCAAATTTAAGCCACATCTTCCTATGATTTGTTTTTGTTTAAACTTTGACAGAGCCTGTTTTTATATTTGAGTATATATTAAGATTAAATATCTCAATTTCATATGGAAATCAGTCCCATCCCAAGTCCCAACAACGTCCTTTCCTTGTTTATATACAAAAGTAAGGGAAAGTATCATTGACATTTATCTCTTTGCATTTGCCTATACATCATCAAGAAACAGAATACAAGAGCAAGAAATATAGTAACCATTAACCAAGTTCTCTTGTTCAATAATAATTCACTTCACCTAAAAAGAGGGAAAAAAAAGAACAGATTTTCAACAAGTCAATCATGAGGAATATTACCAGGAATCCAGGTGGCATAAAACTTTGGAAGGTTTGTTAAATACTAGGGGAGGTTTTAGCTTGGTCTTGGATAAAGCGTCAGATGGAACAGTACATCACTTGCTACTGAAAGTGTTGATGACTAACAACACCAACAACAATAGTATTTGTGTTTTGGTTTCTGGGTTTTGCAAACTTGAGCTATGTTCAGGCTCACGTACATGGATTTGGAGAGCAACCACTTGCAAAGATTGATATTTACAAAACCATTCTGGCTCTTAAAGAATCAGCTTCTGTTTATGCCAGCCCTCTCCTTGGCTTGAAGGTGATGATTTTGACTGACCCTTCTCTTAATTATATCATTTTATTTGTGGCATATATTATTTGTCTATGCTGTTTTAAGTTGCTATATATATATTTAGACTTTATTCATTAAGTTGCTGCACACCTAGTTGTTTAATTGATATATGAAATGAGTTGAAAGGAGTGTTAATTAAGTAGGAGGGATTGAGGTTTGGTATAATAAAGTGGAAAGCCAAGATTTATGCTTGCTTTAGTGCCTTGCTCAATGTAACAGAATGAGGTTAGAGCGAGAGATGAGTTTTATTTCAATTACTCTTGCAAGTGTTTAGATACCCAGTTGAAAATTGATGGTCTTTTTTGTTTTGGTAGAAAAGCAGAAAACTTTGGAGTTGAAATCTACTTCTAAAAGCAAAAATTGGTAGACTAATTTGTTCATGATGTTCTTATATTAGGGAAATTTTGCAGTTTGATCGGATACCTAGCAACTAGACTGTTTTTTGGACTGTTATCCATAGTAAAGATTGGTCTTTTGAGAGTATTACTAGTGATTATTAGCTGAATCTGCCGTTGTACAGAGTCTCTTATTGAACTTGCAGATACCATTACAAGAATCTCTGCCATAAATTTCTATATGCATTCATTTTTTAAGTTATGGTTAATTTGATGTGTTTTTCTATTGTTATTTTTATGATTGCAGGGTGAGGATGCTGAATGGGTTACAGTGGATGTTGTGAACCCTGAACCGTCTGCAGATGATTGGGTTGGAGTTTTCTCTCCTGCAAACTTCAATGAATGCCAGTCTATGTGCTATTATTAAACTTCCTAACCGTTCTTTGTGCCAGAAATGTGATTGACTGGTGCAGATATTATCAACTGACACTTTCGTAGCATTGTATTCTTTGCATCAAACTTCTTCTGCGTTGTTCTTGTAGGACTAACATTATGACCTTTTATAGCTGCATAATCTAGGAATTATAGACATGCTATTTTTTATTTTTCTAAATTGGGCAAATTTTTGTTCTGATCTGCAAATTGATCTTGGCTATTCATGGACCAAGTCTTGGCCTAGATTTAGGGTACTCCTGCATACAAGGCACATGCAGCTATGGGATCCTAGTCACCCTCAGAATTACCGACTGATGTACAATGTAAGGAACTTATTATTGAAAATCTCTACAACTTAGTTAATTCGAGTCTCGTGGTAGCCATCTTAGACTGGACTGAAAGGTTTGACGAATTCTTAGTCGCATATGCATATCAATCAACCCCATCTGATTTGCAAGTTTATACGATCTTAATAAGGATGGGTCGTAATTGAGTTATGAACATTCATCATCAAGTAATTTTCCTGCTGACAGTGGACGAAGAAGAAAAGACTTAGAATTGAGTCTTTACTTGCTACTGCCAAAACTTCCAATTTAATATCTTCTCAAGCTAATGCATTTTAGTTACTTTTCTTTTCCCTTCCATTAATGGCACTTCTCCACCTTATCCTGTTCTTTTCATCGAACATGTTGATGCTTTTTGTCACCTTATCCTTTGGTGCTCTTTTTATAAAACGCATCTTGTCCAAGAAAAGATTCCATGAATTCCAGCTGATAAATCGGCAGGCAGATTTCTCCTCTGCTATTTTTGTAGGTATGCTATCAACAGTGAGTTTCTGATTCCTTTCGCTGTCTTCATCTGGCATCAACTCTATTCAATCCTTTAAATTAATGTCAAACTTGATTTTACATGTTTTCGACTCCTTAGCTGTCTACATCCTACATATCAGCTCTATATAACCTTTGAAGTCATCTAAACGGGAGTAATCTCGATTTTACCACGATAATTTAGGAGGCTAAATATCCGAAAAAGCATACTGAATTTTTTTGTTAAATTGAGTTAGATTCTTAATCATTAAAAATTTTAATCTAACAATCATGAATTATTGTTTGGCATTGATTGCCACTTTTTTGGCATTGATTGCACATAAAGTTTACATGATAGTTTTAAAAAAATAACATGTTCTACTAATTGACTTCTCTATACATGTACTATGTTAAAATTTAAATTAGTAGGACACATGTTATTTTTTAAGACTATCACATGATCTTTACTACCTGTTAATATTAAAAAACTGGATGAAAAAACCTATTATATGTATAGTTCATGATAGTTAAATTAAAATTTTTAAATATTAAGGGTCATATATCTCAATTTGACTTGATTGAAAGTTTGTGATGTTTAAAGATCATTTAACCTAAATTGAGATGCTTGTAGGTTTGAAAATATATTTTGTTCATGAACAATATATACTAGTATATTCATAATCTCAAAGCTAATGAAAGAAGAAAGGTAGTCTATAGAGTAAATTATAAGCCGATCCCTTTATTTTCAAAAAACAATCAATGTTATGAAATAATGAATATCCATATGAATATTCATCTATTTTTCATATCGTCACTACTCATAATTATTAATGTGATTCAATTCATCATTCAATATGAGAAATTAACGGGATGATGCAATTAATGTACTTTCAATTATTCATGGTCATTTTCAATTCTCTTCTCAATTTTGAAGCCTATAAATAGGCTTGATTGTTCATTAGTTGGTGTATAAGTTTTTAAGAGAGAATAAGAGAAACTTTGAAGCTCTTATCACTTGTATTCACATTATAGTGATTCCATTTTCTTGTCATCCTTTCCTTCGATTCCCATATTATTTCTATTTATTTTATAATACGTTATCGGCATAAAGCTCTAACCAATTGAGATAATAGACCATGAGGTATGTATTTACCAAAAGACTTAATCAATTGTTTCAACCATTGGATCAAAATTATTATTTAGATCATTAGGAAGTATGTATCTAATTTATCATGTACTTTAAATCTAATGATACATAGAATATACATTTGAAAATTTTTAATGATTTAATATATAGAATCTAATATATGTTATTTGAAAAGTTCAAATTTTATTATTATGTTTGTTTTCATTTAAATTTTATTATTATATTTTATCTTCATTTCCTAACATTATTATTATACTTTGCAATATATAATTTTAATGATATCATAGCAACCATCACAAAACTTGATTTTGTGGCCCTTGACATTCTAAGCAAGAATTATTAATCATTAGTGCTTGATGCTAAGTTAATATCATCTACTTTTCATATCTTATATATACTCCTGCAATAGCATATCATGAAAAAGAGTTTAAGAAATATTTTGAATCAATTTCATACTTATTCATGACGACTACATAAAATGACAAGCTATTGATGAAAAAGAATAAATCTCGATCAATTGGATATACTCCATTCCCTAAAGTGAATGTGACAATTTATAATAATTTTAGACATGGAAAAAGATGTGATCATAGCCATGAACATGGTTAAAATAATTATCATTATAATCGTGATTACCATAATATTACATCTCACCACCGAAGTTGACAACTATGAAAAAAAAAATAAATAAATAAATAAAGTCGGCATTCGAAAATAAATATTATAGATATGGTATGAATGGACATTGGTTATGTACTTGTCGTACACCAAAGCATCTCATAAAGCATTGTCAAACCTCGTTGAAAAAGAAAAAAATATATATAGAGGCTAATTTTATATATCAAAATGGAGGTAATTGAAATTAATAACTTGTTACCTTTTTTATTTATAAATAAGAAGTTTTATATTTTCTCACAATTGCATAGAGATAGTAATAAATTTATTTGACTATATATTTATTTATGGTTATGAAGAATTTATTTATTAATTTGATTATTTTGTGTTAATATTGTATATGATAATATCAATGTAATAGAAAGCTCCGGAAGAGCAATTCTATTATTACCTAAAGAGATAAAATTTTAAGGCTTTAGAATAATGATTATATTATTACCTAAAAAGATACATTTTTAAAGCTCTAGAAGAGTGAATATATTATTACTTGAAGAGATAACTTTTAAAGACTCTAAAAGAGTCAATATATTATTACTTGAAGTGACCAATTTAAAGGCTTCGGAAGAGCAAATATGTTATTATCCGAAAGGATAAATTTTATTACAAATGATGTACTATTCTCTTTAAAGTCTCATAGAAATTTATTGAGTTTCAAAGATATTCATCTAAATTGATATCATATCAAGATAGCAAATATGAACATGTATTTATTATAATCATTATACCGGCTAGAAAATATGTAATGAAAAATTTATTCATTTTCTCTTCTAGTCTTTATTATAAATATTGGAATGATTGAAACAAATGATATAATAAACCGAAGTTTACTAATTCAAATACTTTTATTATGTGACATGACCAATTGTGTTATCTTGAGTCTTTCATGATGCGATAAATTATTAAAAATTCATATTGACATATATTAAAGAGTTAGAAGATTCTTCAATTTAATGAATTTTCATGTTCCGTATGTTCTCAAGGTAAATTGATTATTAAGCCATCACCAAGTAACATTGAGATTGAATCTCTAGTATTTTTAGAATGTGTTCAAGGCGATATATGTGAACCCATTTATCCACCATATGGATCATTTAAACATTTTATGATTTTAATAGATACATCCATAAAATGATCACACATATGCTTATTATCTACTCGAAACCCGACATTTATGAAATTGCTAGCAAATTTGATTTCAAGCATAGTTTTCAGATTATGCCATTAAAACAAGTCACCTCGATAATGCTTGATGAATTTATTTCTCAAGCATTAAATTATTATTGATTGGCTATTAGAATAAAGGTTGAACATCTCACTTGTTCATGTTCATACTTAGAAAGGTTTAGCAAAATTATTTATCAAAAGGCTCCAATTGATAGCTAAACCATTATTTAAAAATAAAACTTCCTATTTATGTTTGGGGACATGCAATCTTACATGCAGCAACACTTATTCACATCGGATTTATAAGTTATCATAAATTTCTCCTCTTCAATTAATTTATAGTCATAAGCCAAATATTTCTTATTTAAGAATTTTTTGCATTGCAATGTATATCCATAGTGCTCCTCCATAATGAAATAAAATAGAAACTTAAAGGAGATTGAGAATTTATATTGGATTTGAATCCTCTTCGATAATTCAATCTCTTGATTCATGACCAAGAGGTATTTTTATAACTTGATTTGTACTTGTTATTTTGATGAAACGAGTTTTTCAATATTAGGGGAGAGAATAAGCAAAATAAGTAGTTGAAAATGTTGAAAAAGACAAAATACATGGAGTATTCTATCTTTATATCATATTGAATCTTGTATAAAACAATGTGAACTAGAAGTTCAAAAGATAATTTATTTATAAGGTATTGTAAACTAGTTGCTAGATGCATTATCGAGTCCTAAATGAGTAATTAAAATGCATGTCCTTGCTAAGAATGCTTCTATTAGAATTAATATCTTAGAAGGACGAGTCTATTAATGTTATAGCTAATGAATCTAAAGCATGCATGAAGCATGGAAGATCAATCGATTCTAAAGATAAAAATCTCTAAAAGAAAAAGAAAAAATAAAAATATAAAAGATGCAAATATTCATAAAACCATCCAAGATAAATATGATAATAGGATTCCGGAAGAAGTCCAAATGCTTAAGAAAATTAAGAGACTTTGATAAATTATGTCAATACGGGGAGAAAATAAGGACCGAAAAGAAACATTCTTTGTATTTAATGTTTCAATTGATATCTTGAATGAAAATAAGGATTCGAGCTTAAATTTATTGAAGAATGTCGGCACAAAGATGATTGGCCTAAATAAAAAGAGCAATCCGGGCATAATTATGTTTTTTTTTACAAATGAGTAGTTTTTGAACCCATAGTCAAAACATCTTCAAGCAAATAGAATATAAATGTGTATTTATGCGAACACAAAATAAGGAAGATGAGATTGTAAGATACGAAGCAAAACTTTTAACATAAGAGTGTTTGCAAAGAACCGACATTGACTACGAGGAAGCATATTCTCCTATAATGGATGCAATTATATTTTGTTATCTCATTAGCTCGAAAAAATATATGAAAAACATTCAAATGTATGCATTGAATGTGATCACGGTTTATTTGTTCATTTGAAATGATATTATTATGAAAGTCCTCGAAGGATTTAACATGCCGAAGCATGTAATATATATTATTGAGAAAAGAATTCAATCAAAATATAGATATCTCTATTAGCATTATTTTAATATTTGTTTTATTATTTTAGTTTTTAGAAATTTAATTTATATTATACTTTTTTTTATACTTTATTTTTATATATACTTGTTTATTATTAATTCGTGTGCTTGTGATATAATCACTTCAATGATTATTTATTGAAATTTTTTTTTAAAAAATAACCCTATTTGTTCATATATTTTTATTTGAAAATGAGTTTGTTGTATATATTGATGACTTAAATATTATTAGAACTCTTGAAAAGATTTCAAGTGCCATAAGTGATCTAAGAAGAGAATTTGATGTGAATATCTTTAAGAAAAAAATGTTATCTCGACCTATAATTCGAGCACTCAAATAATGAGATTTTTATTGATGAGTTTTTTTAGTGATTTTTCTTTTCCCTTTCATTGATGGCACTACTCCACCTTATCCTGTTCTTTTCATCAAACTTGTTGATGCTTTTTGTCACCTTATCCTTTGGTGCTCTTTTTATAAAACGTATCTTGTCCAAGGAAAGATTCCATGAATTCCAGCTGACAAATCGGCAGGCAGATTTCTCTACTATTTTTGTAGGTAGGCTATCAACAGTGAGTTTCTGATTCCTTTTGCTGTCTTCATCTGGCATCAACTCTATTCAATCCTTTAAATTAATATCAAACTTGATTTTACATGTTTTCGACTCCTTAGCTGTCTCCATCCTACATATCAACTCTATCTAACCTTTGAAGCCATCTAAACGGAGGTAATCTCGATTTTACCACGATAATTTGGGAGACTAAATGATCCAAAAAAGCATACTGAATTTTTTTGTTAAATTGAGTTAGATTCTTAATCATTAAAAATTTTAATCTAACAATCATGAATTATTATTTGGCATTGACTGTCACTTTTTTGGCATTGATTGGACATAAAGTTTAAGTAACAGTTTTAAAAAAATAACATGTTATATTAACATACATCTCAAGTATAAATTATGTTTTAAATTTAAATTAGTAGAATATATGTTATTTTTTAAAACTATCATATGATCTTTACATACGATTAATGTTAAAAAACTGAATGAAAAACCTATTATATATATATATATATATATATATAATGGTTCATAATAGTTAAATTAAAATTTTTAAATATTAAGGGTTATCTATCTCGATTTGACTTGATTGAAAGTTTATGATGTTTAAAGATCCTTTAACCTAAATTGAGATGTAGTAGGGTTGAAAATGTATTTTGTTTATGAACAATATATACTAGTATTTAATTACAATAAGATTAAATAATTAATTTTTAAAATAAAAAATAAAAATATAAGATTAAATAATTAGTTTTTTAAACAAAAAGAATTAATTAATTTGTTTCTAAACAATAGAAGTACTAATTTATAATTAACTCTAGATTTATACCCTAGAACCAGTAGAAATTATCAAAAAAAAAAAAAAAAAAAAAAAATTGGTATGAAACTCCATAAGACTTTATTGGTTGATCATCTAATGAAGCACAATTAGTACTATAGAGTGATGGTTCACCTTGTATGTGATCACAGGAATTGGAATACAAATGCTTGTCTTGAACATTAAAAGTATTGCTTATATATTCATTAATGCATATAATCATATGAACATGACAAATGGAAGGAAATAGATTTAGATCTTATTGGACTAGAATTTATTCTAGAACATATTTTTGTATGAAAATGATTTCAAGGACTTTCTTCATTCACATTATATGTTCATTCCGCATGTGAAGGATTAGGATGGTATGAGATGGGAATCAGATTAAGCTCATGTTTTCTTCTAACAGTACTGCCAAGTGCAACATCCTCTGTCATGTCAAGGTCTTCATTCTTGACTCCATCACAAAGTTCCCAATCAAAATGGTACAACAGCTTTGCAAGCGTCAACTCTACTATAGCCAAGCCAAATGTCATCCCAGGACATTTCCTCTTTCCAGCACCAAATGGGATGAATTCAAAATTATTGCCCATGTAATCGACTGAAGAATCTTGGAACCTCTCTGGGTAGAACTTCTCAGCCTCATCCCAATAAGTAGGATCCCTTCCAATTGCCCATGCGTTGATCATTACGTTACTGCTGCCAGGTATGTCATGTCCATTAATCTTGCATCCTTCCCTGCGTGCTCTTAGAATCAATGGTGCAGGAGGATGGAGTCTGGTGGTTTCTTTGACAATTAGCTGTAAGTATTTTAGTTCAGGAAGGCTTGTTCCGTGAGCATTTCCCGTTTTGGCAAAAACTCCCCTCACTTCTTTTTGTGCCCTTTTCACTTGCCTTGGATTCTTTAGCATTTCTGACATTGCCCATTCCAAAACTGCTGCTGATGAGTCACTCCCAGCCAAAAAAAATTCCTGAGATAGGATTGCTAACTTGATTAAAAGAACTTAACATATTTTCCTGTATGCTTTAGACAAACACATAGGCCTATATTAGAGAGAGAGAGAATACTAACCAGAAGAATTGCTTTGATATTGTCATTTGTGAATTCAGAATTTGCAAAGTGTTGCATATTCACAAGAACATCTAGAAAATCCTCTTCTACTTCATTCTCACCGGTCTTTGTCCTGATTTTGCTGGCTCTGCGTTCATTTATAATGGCGTCAAGCATCTCACCTATCTCTTGATGCTGCCTCATGAATTTAGACCTTGCCCAGCCGAGGGAGTGAAACAATTTAAAAGAAGGGAATATATCCGCAACATCAAAACCTGCTCCCCCTTGTTTCCATTCTTCTATACTTGAAAGCAGTGCTTGGTTTTTGCCTTTCTTACCCATGATTACTCTTGTAATTAATCCAAACGTTAATGTGGAAAGCATTTTACTAAGGTTGATTGGGGATCCTTCCTTCGAAGAAATCAATGTAATAAACTCCGATACCTCTTCTTCCATGGTTGATCTGAATGACCGTACACATTGTGGACTAAGCAGCCTGGATGAGCAAACTTTCCGTAAATGCTTCCAATATTCTCCATATGGCGTAAAAGAGATGGCCTTACCGTCGTAAAACACGACTCTTGGGATGACACCATCAGGTCTGTCAACGAAGATGTCTTCATTGGTTTTCATCACCTCTTTCGCTGTTTCTCGCGAAGAAATGACAACAAAACGAACTTCTCCAAGTAAAACTTGCATCACTGGGCCATACTTCTTGGCCAAGTCTGTAAAGCGACGATGGATTAGAGGGCCAGCCACCTGGTGAATATTTCCAATGAGGGGTAACTTCCACGGTCCTGGAGGTAGATTTGGATTCATGAAGTTGTTGGTTTTTGAGTTCTTCCTTGTTCTCAATACCATGAAGATAAAGAGAAGGAAGGTTAGAAAGATTGGGAAAAGGGGAAAATGTTGCTCCATGAAGATATGAAGGTTGATTTGTGAAGTTGACATCATGTCATGCATTTGGTTTTTATACATGCATGCTTGTTTCAGGGTTGCGGGCATGACGACAATTTCTAGTTGCTAGACAGGAGTTCTGTCAGATAGTCAAAATTTTAGAAGACAATGGCATCTATAATTCTAGGCATCAAATCATGAAGATACTTCTGTTTTTCTATGAATATCTGTCTGTTACATAAATTCAGACAGAAAAATCAAATTGATAGTGAAGTGAAGCCTATCTGTAATCATTAATTAATTAATTTTCGTTGTATAGGTTAAATCTAACAACAATGCATCTCATGGCAACACTGGTAAAATAATCAATCTCTCTTCTATTTCGGCATTTATTTTGTATCTATATGTTCCTTGGTAGACTGCAGATTCAACTAAAGGGAAAAGTTGAGCTTTATTTTCACTTTAATGCAAAGCCTAATAATGTACAGAAAAATCAGGGATACTTTTCATTTCAATTTAGCTAGATAGCACTCGAAAAGTCCTGTTTTAACTTTTTTTTTTAGCTGACAAGAAAACTTTCAAATAGAAATTAGATGTTACGACAGGTTGCTACTTGATCCGTTAAAAAGATAGAGAGAAAAAGAGAAAAGAAAAAAAAGAACTTGCAGATTCAGATATGAAGGTCCTTTGCTTAATGATTTAAACGCCAAAGTTGAAAATATTTTAACAATTATCACACTATTTTAATATTGCAATCAGAAACTGAAATTCTAATATTTGTCATTTGTTTATAAATTAATTTCTGCACAAGAGAATGATGTTGTTATGAGTAATTCACTTTTCAAATTTTAAGGAGCAAAGTAGATGATCAATGAGATTTGTTAGCACCGAAGTTTTGCTATTTTTATTTACTTGTTTATTTATTATTACAAAAGTATCAAAAAATAATAATAATAAAACAAAACAAAAAATGCAAAAAACAAAAAACTATATAGAAAAAAAGAAAAAAAAGAGAGCAATTATGGTAGTTAGCTTAGATTAATTCAAGAAAAGGGCTTCAATTGAAAAATAAAATGTTGGAAACAATTGAAGAAGAAATTGAAGGTATATATATATATAAATAAATAAAAAAAAAAAAAAGAGGGAGTCAAAGCTTCAAATCCTTCAATTAAAATAAGAAGGGATACAATTGAAACGAATTAAAATAAAAATCTTAATTATTAGTAATGGGAGGCTAAAATTAAAACACACAAAAATAATAATAATAATAATAAATTGAATCCAAATAAATGCATGGAAGAAACCAATGACAAAATTGGATTTTTGTCAAGAGAAAAACCCTATCAATATAAAGCCCCATGCATTTTTTTTTTATCACACACGAACTATTCATCACCACCCTAAGAAAAAAGACACCTAGCCACTGCAGCCTTCTCTCTCGCCGACTTCACTCTCCCTCTCGCCCACTTTTCCCCCCACGCCCACTCGCCTCCTCTCTCACCTTCCATTCTCTCTCTCCCAGCCTCGCCATTGCTCCCTCTCGCTTGCCTCGCCCAAGCCCCTTTTCAGCCCTAAAACAACCCCCTTTTAGTCTTGAAACGGCCCTTTTTCAACCCCGAAACAGCCTCCCTTTAGCCCTAAAACAGCCCCTTTTTCAGCCATCAAACAGCCCCCTCTCAGCCCTGAAACAACCCCTTTTCAACTACCAAACAGCCCTCTTTTCAAATAGAAATTAGATGTTACGCAGGTTGCTACTTGATCCGTTAAAAAGATAGAGAGAAAAAGAGAAAAGAAAAAAAAGAACTTGCAGATTCGGATATGAAGGTCCTTTGCTTAATGATTTAAACGCCAAAGTTGAAAATATTTAACAATTATCACACTAGTTTAATATTGCAATCAGAAACTGAAATTCTAATATTTGTCATTTGTTTATAAATTAATTTCTCGCACAAGAGAATGATGTTGTTATGAGTAATTCACTTTTCAAATTTTAAGGAGCAAAGTAGATGATCAATGAGATTTGTTAGCACCGAAGTTTTGCTATTTTTATTTACTTGTTTATTTATTATTACAAAAGTATCAAAAAATAATAATAATAAAACAAAACAAAAAATGCAAAAAACAAAAAACTATATAGAAAAAAAGAAAAAAAGAGAGCAATTAGGGTAGTTAGCTTAGATTAATTCTAGAAAAGGGCTTCAATTGAAAAATAAAATGTTGGAAACAATTGAAGAAGAAATTGAAGGTATAAAAAAAAAAAAAAAGAGAGGGAGTCAAATCTTCAAA